CCCTATCCTTTTGTCTCTGTTTATTCTTTTTTGTTTTGCCCTACCCAGGTACGTGGAGAGTTTCTTGTCTTTTGGGAAGTCTGAGGTCTTCTGCCAGCGTTCAGTAGGTGTTCTGTAGGAGTTGTTCCTCGTGTAGATGTATTTCTGGTGTATCTGTGGGGAGGAAGGTGATCTCCGTGTCTTACTCTTCCGCCATCTTCCCGATTCCCCCCGCCATCTTCCCAATTCTCCCCCTCTACTTTTTAATATGATTTTTAACTGTAATTTTGTGTTAACTGTAGCAGTTGAAAAACATCTAAGACGTCTTGGGTTTGAGCTTCAAAGCTAAGCAAAGTCCACCTCAAGGAAAATTTGGGTTTACCCTAAGACCATCAAATATGAGGACAATTATACGAAGTCAGGATTAAAATCTGGAATATTAAAAGGGGAAAGCTCAAATACTACTGTTTTCCTATCATCAGTAAAATTTTTTGCTGTAATTCTGTCAGTACTCTTCATGGGTGGTGCCAATGTTCCAACTTCTATCCCTCTGGCTGGTCAAGGCAGGAAAAGGAAGTGCTAAATGTACATATACTTTTATACTGAATCCTTTGCAATGCCTACCGACTCACAACTCTTCAGGCAAGACATTAGGTTGTACCTTTTCTGCCTGCAGTGAGAGAAGAGTTCTTGTGGCACGCAACTTTTCTTTGTTTAGAAATAATGTGTTCATTTTGCCATCTTGGCAATTATGCCATATGTTGTTGAGCTTTGGTATGTATTGATATATACAAATTACCACAAACTTAGTGCTTTAAAAACAGCACATTTGTTATCTATAGTTCTGGAAGTCACAAATATGAACTCGGTTTTACTGGGCTAAGTCAAGGTGTTAGCAGGCCTACTTTTTTTTTTTTTTTCTTTGGAGGCTCTCAGGGAGAATCCATTCCCTTGCCTTTTTCGTTTCTAGAAACCACCTGCATTCCATGGCTTGTGGTTCTTTCCTTTGTGTTCAAAGTCAACCAGTATAGCATTTTCCAGTCTTTCTCTGACTCTGATCCTCCTATCATATGCTATATAACCCAGGATAATCTCCCCATTTCAAGACCCCTAACTTAATGGTATCTGCAAAGTCCTTTTTGCCATACAACGTAACATGGAAGCCATTTTTTCTGCCAAACACAGTGTAATACAAACAAAAAGCATGGGCACTGTCATCATAAATTGCTTTCTGAAGTTATCTCTTCCTCAAAGTACTGCTTTTTAATTGATGGTAGTCTACAACATGATTTTAGCCATTCAAATTCATGTCTCACATGTTGATCTACTTCAGGTAGCAAAAATATTTTAATGATAATAAAGGCCATATATGACAAACCCACAGCCAACATCGTCCTCAATGGTGAAAAACTGAAACCATTTCCACTAAGATCAGGAACAAGACAAGATTGCCCACTCTCACCACTATTATATAACATTGTTTTGGAAGTTTTAGCCACAGCAATCAGAAAAGAAAAAGAAATCCAAATCAGAAAAGAAGAAGTAAAGCTGTCACTGTTTGCAGATGACATGATACTATACATAGAGAATCCTAAAGATGCTACTAGAGAACTACTAGAGCTAATCAATGAATTTGGCAAAGTAGCAGGATACAAAATTAATGCACAGAAATCCCTTGCATTCCTATACACTAATGATGAAAAATCTGAAAGAGAAATTAAGGAAACACTCCCATTTACCACTGCAACAAAAAGAATAAAATACCTAGGAATAAACCTACCTAAGGAGACAAAAGACCTGTATGCAAAAAACTATGAAACGGATGAAAGAAATTAAAGGTGATACAAACAGATGGAGAGATATACCATGTTCTTGGATTGGAAAATCAACATTGTGAAAATGACTCTAGTACCCAAAGCAGTCTGCAGATTCAATGCAATCTCTATCAAACTACTAAAGGCATTTTTCACAGAACTAGAACAAAAAATTTCACAATTTGTATGGAAATACAAAAGACCCCAAATAGCCAAAGCAATCTTGAGAAAGAAAAATGGAGCTGGAGGAATCAGACTCCCTGACTTCAGACTATACTACAAAGCTACAGTAATCAAGACAATATGGTACTGGAACAAAAACAGAAATATAGATCAATGGAACAGGATAGAAAGCCAAGATAAACCCATGCACCTATGGTCACCTTATTTTTGATAAAGGAGGCAAGAATATACAATGGAGAAAAGACAGCCTCTTCATAAGTGGTGCGGGGAAAACTGGACAGCTACATGTAAAAGAATGAAATTAGAACACTCCCTAACACCATTCACAAAAATAAACTCAAAATGGATTAAAGACCTAAATGTAAGGCCAGACACTATAAAACTCTTAGAGGGAAACATAGGCAGAACACTCTATGACATAAGTCACAGCAAGATCCTTTTTGACCCATCTCCTAAAGAAATGCAAAAAAAACAAAAATTAAAAAATGGGACCTAATGAAACTCAAAACTTTTGCACAGCAAAGGAAACCATAAGCAAGACCAAAAGACAGCTCTCAGAATGGGAGAAAATGTTTGCAAATGAAGCAACTGACAAAGGATTAATCTCCAAAATTTACAAGCAGCTCATGCAGCTCAATATCAAATAAACAAACAACCCAATCCAAACATGGGCAGAAGACCTAAATAGACATTTCTCCAAAGAAGATATACAGATTGCCAACAAACACATGAAAGAATGCTCAACATCATTAATCATTAGAGTAATGCAAATCAAAACTAAAATGAGGTATCACCTCATACCTGTCAGAATGGCCATCATCAAAAAATCTACAAACAGTAAATGCTGGAGAGGGTGTGGAGAAAAGGGAACCCTCTTGCACTGTTGGTGGGAATGTAAATTGATACAGCCACTATGGAGAACAGTATGGTGCTTCCTTAAAAAACTAAAAGTAGAAATACCATACCACCCAGCAATCCCACTTCTTGGTATATACCCTGAGAAAACCATAATTCAAAAAGTGTCATGTACCACAATGTTCATTGCAACTCTATTTACAGTAACCAGGACATGGAAGCAACCTAAGTGTCCATCAACAGATGAATGGATAAAGAAGAAGAATTGGCACATATATACAATGGAATATTACTCAGCCTTAAAAAGAAACGAAATTGAGTTATTTGTAGTGAGGTGGATGGACCTTGAGTCTGTCATACAGAGTGAAGAAAGTCAGAAAAAGAAAGACAAATACCATATGCTAACACATATGTATGGAATATTAAAAAAAAATGATCATGAAGAACCTAGGTGCAGCATTGGGAATAAAGACACAGACCTACTAGAGAATGGACTTGAGGACACAGGGAGAGGGTAGGGTAAACTGGGACAAAGTGTGAGAGTGGCATGAACACATATACACTACCAAATGTAAAACTGATAGCTCGTGGGAAGCAGCTGCATAGCACAGGGAGAACAGCTCTGTGCTTTGTGACCACCTAGAGGGGTGGGGTAAGGAGGGTGGGAGGGAGGGAGACGCAAGAGGGAAGAGATATGGGGATATATGTATATGTATAGCTGATTCATTTTGTTATAAAGCAGAAACTAACACACCATTGTAAAGCAATTATACTCCAATAAAGATGTTAAAAATATATACATATACATATATATATATATATATATATATTTTAACGGAGCCTTCCATTTTTTTCTTTGACTTCAGATTTGCACAAAGTGCTATTAATAGATGGAAATGAAAGTCATATTTGAATAATATTCTCTGTGCCAAGCATTTATATACATTTTTCTATTTGATCTTCACAGCAGACTTCTGAGCTCTTCATATTTCTCATGAGACTCACAGATGTTAAATAACTTGCCTGAAGTTACGTAGTTATAAGTATCAGAGCTGTGATTAGAGCCTTGTCTTTCTCTTTATTTTTTTCCTAATTGTCTGTGTCATACATGTTTTCACATTTTATTTTAAAATGTGAAAATATTTTTAAAAAGCACAAAGTAGTAACCCATTTCTCTGCATTTTACGTATTGTACTATTTTGTAAACTGATTATTTTTTAATTATGCTTTTCCTATAACCTGAACAAGTCTTTATAATCCCCAATTTTAATTGCTTTATACTATTTCAAGATGACCACTCTTCTTCCACCATACCATACTATCTCTTTCCAAGTCATGCCTTCCTGAGGACACAATACAAAATATATATAGTTAAGTAGAAATATGTAATTCACTGCCAAAATTAGTAAATGCTGACTGTATAAGGGTATTAGAGGAGAGAGATATTACTTTAAATTGACAGTTTGAATACTTTCTAGTGACAGAATAAGGGCTTGAAGGAAAAACTTGCAAGGACACAAGATCTACTTAACTTTTAAAGCTAGAAATTATGGCCTTTTCCAATCAAGATAGTGTTTAAAATACTTCATGCATGCACACGTGTGTGTGTGTTTGTGTGTCTGTGCGTGAGTGTGTATAGAAAGAGGGAGGGATAAAAGACAGGGAAAGATAATAGCTAATCATGGAAATGTTTTGAAACAAGGTTGGTAAACTAAAAATTTCTATACCCACCTCACCAGTTAATAAAAAACTATGATTGTTCATGTTTAATTTATCTTTGATCAATAAATAGCAGTATAATCTCAGGAATGTTATACCTCTGCATTGTGAGGAAAATATAAGAAAGTATATCCTTAATCTCTATTTGCATAGTTTAAGGAAAATTACTCGGTTGTTATATATTTTAAAAATGCCTTTTCTTTCCTGTTTCCCCATAAGACAAAAATAATTGGTTCTGATTATAATTGCTGGATATTATAAAGCACTATCTAGCTGAAAGGCTACCAAATGAAATGTTTTATTTAAGAAGTTAGGTTATTGTTTAAATACCTATAGAACTGGAAATTCAGTGTATACGTTTGTCTTGAGGGATGCTTAATTAGGAAGAGGGATTAAGCATAACTTTCTGATTTCATGCTGTATTCATGTGTGATTTATCTGTTTATTTAGGTACCCAGAGGCTTACCTTACTTCTCTGTGAATTTTGGCCTCCAGGGAGGGTTTGCCCATGTCATTGAAGATCAACACAAATTCCCTCATTACTTTGGAAAGGTATGCTCACAAATTTAGTAAAGTACCAGAGTTTAGCAATTTTGTAACACTTTTCTTTTGAAGGGAAATCAAAACTTTGGGCACAATATATAGTGAAGTTGGTTATTACTGTTCCACCCAAGTTTTAGAGGGAGTACCCAGAAACTGTTAATAAATATATCCCAGAATATTTATAACAGGAATATTACTTTGTAACCAAACATTTGTTGACAGTGTCAATGGTGACTATAATGTTTTTCCTGTGGAGTCAGCCAGGCTTGTGCTGAGAGTGATTGATGATAATTGATAATGATGATAACGCACTCATTGAGGGTTTACAATGAGCCTGTTACTGTTCTGAGCACTCATTTAATGCTCACAATAACTCTATTATATAGATATTTTTATACTTTCATTTTATAGATGATGAAACTGAGCTACAGAGAGGCTATATAACTTCCCCATGGTCATGTGCTAAGTGACAGAAACAAGGGGTGCATAAGCTCATGGTTGAACTAGAGAACAAATGATCTCACATCTTCATTTATAATTAAGAACAATATAGTCCAAGAATGTGTCACTCATTTCACACAGATAGTTTCTGGACAGATACTAGAGTGTAGATCTTTCATTTTTTGCTAGTGGATTTTTTCTGTTACTACAGATTGCCTTCTAGGGTTATAGTCCTTAAATTTAAGGTCTACTGAGTATCTGGGAAGTATGTAAGTTAGTATCAGGGACTAGAATGAAATTAGTGTAGCTATTGAAGCAATCAAAAGAAGTCTGGGCAATAACAGCTCTAGAAGTGACCTTTCAATCTAGTATAACTCAGGCCTTTCTCTCTAAATTAGAGGAGCCTAGATGAACTCTGTCCATTGTTCCCTGTTCTTCTTCCCCACTTTCATCTCCTGTGTAAGATCATTTTCTGCAAAGAATAGTGACATGTAAGAGGTTTGGACTCAAAAATGTTTACGCTGTTATCCTTAAAGGTTAGCTAGAGGCCTAAAATCACATTAATCTATGAACTGTTGAGATATGTTACAGAAACTTGTCTGAGAATTTTTCAGAATATCTTTTCCCAGAGTTAATTAGAAAGAAATTTGTTTTCATTGCTCTGAAAAATTCTGTTGTTATTCAATAGAGCTTTATAACTCAAAGCTTTATGACTCTGCATTTATTTCTTTCAAAAAAAGAAAACTTAATTCTAGTGAAAATGAAATAAAATATCAATTTTTTAACTTGCATAAATTTAATTGGGAGATCGCCCCCCCAATATTATGCATGTGCTGTGATTTTTATGATACTGTTTTAATGTTAAAAGGAAACTTCTTTAGTTAGCATTACATCATTGATCCGTTTTCTCCAAAATCTTCTTTCCAAGAAACAGCCTATGAGACCAAAACTCCCTTCAGCCTGCAGTTGTTTAGAGAGCAAGAAGGGTTGGTCTCTTTCCATTAACATCTGCTTCAGTAACAGAACAAGAATCAGTCCTTATATGGTACCCATGAGACAAAACTTGATGCTTTATAGACAGTTTTAGATCAATTTATAAGCTAGGCTTTCTTAAACTACATTGCTAGTGATTGGCTGGTGCCAAGAAACTCTTGCATTAAATCTAAATGTGCCCTCTTTTTAAACTATGTCTCTCTTAACCCCTTTATTTCCCTTTCCCACTGAAAAGAGATTTCCTTTTCCATGAAGCTTTTCCTGATTTATCCAACAATTAGAATCTTCTTTCTTTTTGAGTTTCCATGTAGTCTGCTTTGACATTTGCCTTATTCTGCTTTATAACTCCCACCACAGCTCCACATTCTGTTATGAGCTTTCTGAAGACAGAGAAATGTATTTTAGTTATCTCTGTATCCCCTACAATATTTGGCACTTGCTTGTACATAGTATGTCCCTTTAGTATATTTGTTAAGATGAAGAATCTATGTCTTAGAGTGATTATGTCCAAGGTCTTACCACACAATCCTGCAGACCTAGACTGAATATGCAGAACTCAACCCTTAGCCCAAGATTTTCCTGTATTACCATACTTCCCTTCCTCGAAGCATTATAAATCTCCCCCATATCTTTCTGTACATGGATACTCACTATCATAAATTTGATTAATTTCTGTAGCTGATAGCACAGGAAGAGGATCATGAAGGAAATGATCTAGAGTAATAAGCAGACAGTCAGAAATCCATTCCTTTCAGGGCTTGGGAATGTGACTTTTTAAATGAAGGTGATTTATAATTTCTAATTCTTGGTTTGCTTAGATTAGTACTAAAATATGATTTTGTTTCCTGAAAAAATATCTACAGCTAATAGTAGAAGAAACTGGCTTTTAACTATACTGGGTAGTAGGGAGAACATTAGCCGGAGATTCAACTGTAGTTGAACAACCAAGTTAATAATTGCTACATGTTGATCAACTTTTTCTTCAAACTTTTACCAGAGCAGCTAATAAGGACCAAATTAGTTAAATTCCATTTTCTCTTCCTCCCCTTTGCTGCTGTCTGATAGATGTGTTAACAAGCAACAAAATAGACAAATTGTTTGACAGGAGACACAGCTAGGACCCCTAGAATCACAGGGTTTGCATAGTTAGAACTAAATGAAAAGAATGTTTATTTTTAACTTGAAACTAATACCTATGTAAAATTTGATCCTCACGGAGAACTACTTAATGTTATATTTAGTAACAGAATAAATTGAAATAGTTTCATTCCTGTTTTTAGTATTTATACATGCACGTGTTTGTATTTTTCTCATTCTTTGAAAGGAAATCATTGGTGGGATGCTGGATGTAGAACCAAGACTTTGGAGGAAAGGGATCCGAGAAAGCTTTGAGGATCAGAGGAAGAAAGTACTGCAGTTTGCTCAGTGGTGGAAACCATTTGACTTCACCAAAAATAAAAAATGTTGAGACATACCTTTCATTTTTTATTTCCTCTTCATATTTCTTTCAGTTTTATTTCCATTGCATCTAACTAAACAACTGATCATCAGGTAATAGGAAGAGAATCATGATCTGGGTTTAATGACAACTGCATCATTGGATTGTGTCGGTTTCCTTCCCCACCTGCTCCTGTGGACTTCATTGTAGTAACTGTGGAGCAAGACCAGTTATGTCATGTGACCTGTTCATGTCCTGTTCTGTACCTCTGTCTTGGTATTCTGAACTATTTATATTAACATATAGAAAGACTTTTCTGAAGGATTATCTAGGAAGTATAGCAAATCATTGCTTCAGAGGGAAGCGGGTCTGCTTCAAGTTTGAGTCTGCTGACTAGCTTCTTTTGCATTTTTTAAACTAAGAGTTGGCATATTTAGTAATAATTGAAATTTCTTTTCACAGCATTTTATAGAAGCTCTTAATTTTCTACCAATAGCATATATATTACTACTATTCTTTTTATTAAAGGAATAAAGAATGTCCCAAAAGTAATTAAGAATTAAATAAGGTATATAACATGTTCATGATTTGTTTTTATTTCTGTATTTTTAAATAGTGTCTTTGAATTTTGGTGATTTTAAAAGTAATTGTTCCAAAAATTACAGTTTACAGTTGTTTGGGGTTTGTATGAAAGTTAAAAATTTTAGCCAAATCATCATTTTGAGGTTGTATTGATTATTACAAAATCTTAAGTAATGTGAGTATGTTTAGTGTCAGGAACACATTCTGTTGTCCCATATGATCTAAGGTTCTTCATTTTCCTGTATTCTTACACTTGGTGTGAAGAGAAAAACCCTATACATATAAAATATGGCCATGGTCTCTAAGAGTGTTCCTACTTTATTTTTTATATGGAAGATATTTTTGTAGTAACCCTTTTTCAAAGATGTTGATTTTTTTGGAGCGGAACCTTGACGTTTTGTCATGAAATGTTGAATATTTAGAATCAATGTGACATGTACTCTAGAGTAACTCCTAACTCGACGTAGTTATTTTTAATATTGACATCTCATTTCTTTAGTATCTTGAAAAAAGAGAAATGTTTATGTTCTATCTGAAGTTTTAAAATTTTAATAAAAGTTGGAAGTTTAATGGTTTCAGATTCTCAATATTTACAAATTGGATTTAAGTTATTATCACATACTTGATACTTGATAGTATTTTATTTTTCGCTGTTTTCAGACTCTTTTGGCCTTGCTGCAAAGTCTCAGAGGAATCTTTAACATTCATTTATTCAATCAGTGAGTTAACAAACATTTGTTTGCAGGGCATTTTGTTGCATACTGGTAGTACAAAAATAAAAAAATACTTCCTATACCTTAAATTATTTCATAGTTTAGTGGTGCAAGAGATATGTTCAAAAATAATTACATAAAGAAGATGTGGCACATATATACAATGGAATATTACTCAGCCATAAAAAGAAACGAAATGGAGCTATTTGTAATGAGGTGGATAGATCTAGAGTCTGTCGTACAGAGTGAAGTAAGTCAGAAATAGAAAGACAAATACCGTATGCTAACACATATATATGGAATTTAAGAAAAAAAATGTCATGAAGAACCTAGGGGTAAAGCAGGAATAAAGACGCAGACCTACTAGAGAACGGACTTGAGGTTATGGGGAGGGGGAAGGGTGAGCTGTGACAGGGCGAGAGAGAGTCATGGGCATATACACACTAACAAACGTAGTAAGGTAGATAGCTAGTGGGAAGCAGCCGCATGGCACAGGGATATTGGCTCGGTGCTTTGTGACAGCCTGGAGGGGTGGGATAGGGAAGGTGGGAGGGAGGGAGACGCAAGAGGGAAGACATATGGGAACATATGTTTATGTATGACTGATTCACTTTGTTATAAAGCAGAAACTAACACACCATTGTAGAGCAATTATACCCCAATAAAGATGTTAAAAAAATAATAATAATTACAGCACAATATAAGTTCTAATGCAAGATATGTGCCAAGTGTGTTCAAGTCCAGTGCTAAAGGACTATTTACACCTCCTCTGTCTTCATTCTTAGCTGATGAATCTTGCTTCCTGTTTTACTGAGAAAATAGAACTAAAGAGAAGGAGTTTCTACCACATCTAATTAATATACCTGCATCTGTACCCAGGTACTCTGCTTCTCCTCTTGATAACTGTAGGTAAATTATTTTGTTGTCCTTACCTAGAGCTAGTCAACTCATTTATGTACTACTAGATTTCATCCTTTTTCACCTACTCAAATGCCTCTACCCTCTGAATTATTAGATTTTTTCCTCTCTGTAAGATTATTTCAATTAGCATACAAAACCTTTTATAATATATCAACAACAAGCCCTGGCATCATACTGCCACCCCTAGCCATTTCTCTTCTCCAGTTGAGCAAAATTCATTAAAAAAAAAAATCTGTTTCCTTTCCTTCCATCTTCTTCCTGTTCTCAGTAGTCAGACTTCATCCTCACCATTCTACTAGTTTTAGTTTTGTTTATGGTAAGGTCCTCAGTTCCTTCCACATTGCCAAATCAAATAATTTATTCTCAGTGCTCATCTTACTCTATCAGCTTCATTGGCATACTTGATCACTTCCCCTTCTTGAAACACTATTTTTACTTTGCTTCTAGAACACTGTCTCTTATTTATCCTCTTTCCTTACTGGCTGCATCCTCTCAATCTCCTTTGCTGGTTTCTCCTCTTGTCAACTTCTAAGTGTTGAAATGCCTATTCTCAAACCATAACTACTGTATTCACTCTCTCCCAAGGTAATTTTCTCAATAAAATGGTCTTAAATACTATTTTTAAGTTCGTTCATTTACTCAGCAAATGTTTGAGTGTCTTCTATATGTCAGTCACTGGTCTGTGTGCAGGGGTTACATTAGTGAAGAAAACAAAAATCCCTGTATTTGAGGAGTTTACATTGTATCAGAGAAGACAGATAGTACACATTAGACAATAAATAAATTGTCTAGGAAATGTCAGAGGTGATAAGTACTATGGAAAAATGAAAATAGAACAGAACAAGGAGGTTGTTTTCCAAATTTTTATTCACTTTGGACATCTTCACTGAATTCCAGAATCACATATCCAAATACCAACTTGACATTTGTTCTGTAACTGTATCGGTAGTAAGCATATATAAACTGAACTCCTGATTTTCCTCCTGTTCTAGTTATTTATAATAACCATTTCATTATATCTCATGGTTTTATAGGTGAGACGTTTGGTCAGGGCTCAGCTGGATGATTTGCCTCTGCTTCAAGATGTCCGGGGCCTCAGCTGGGATGGCTCAAATGTCTGGAGATGACTGGGGTCATATGTCTGGATACTCTGTTCTTCATACAGTGTATGTTGAAGCTGGAATAGTGGGAATGGTTCCTTTACACACATGTGTGGTGCCTATAGTGGAATGAATGGAACAGCTGGGGACGGGCTTATAATACTCTTTTCTCCTATGGCAATTTCAGGGTAGTTGGACCTGCTATATGGCTTCTGGATTCCTCCAGAGCAAGCATTCCAAAAGACAGTTCCAAGAGATAAGAGGTGGAAGGTGCCAATCTTCTCGAGTCTGGTACAGCTTAACTTTTGCTGTGTTCTTTTTGTGATAAAGTTGTCACAGAGCCCACCTACATTCAAGAAGAGGGGTCATAACCCTATCTCTCAGTGGGAGTAGTGTCAAATAATTTGTGTCAAATAATTAATAATCTTTAATCTACCACAGTCCACCCTCTGGCCACAAACTTATACTCCTCCTATGTGAAAAGCATATTCAAAACCACCCAGGAAAGTCCCATTCCAGTAGGGCATTAGGCTTAGGCTCAAAATTCAGGATCCCATCTAAATCAGGCCCAGATGGAGATGAGGTTACTCAGGTGCTTCAATCTGAAGACCTGTGAACTTAGACAAATTATCTGTACCCCTTACACACACACACACACACACACACACACACACACACACACACACACACACACAC